CTCCCGAACCAAAGCCGCGAGGAGGGCCACTTCTATGTGGTGCTCGGCGAGGACATTGACGTGTCGACGCAGCGCTTCAAGATCCTCTCACTGCTGGGGGAAGGCACCTTCGGCAAGGTGGTAGAGGCGTGGGACCGCAAGCGCAAGGAGTACTGTGCTGTGAAGATTGTGCGTAACGTGCCCAAGTACACGCGGGATGCGAAGATTGAGATTCAGTTTATGGAGAAGGTGCGCCAGTCAGACCCCGCCGACCGCTTTTCCCTGATGAAGATCCAGCGCTACTTTCAGAACGAGACCAGCCACATGTGCATTGTGATGCCAAAGTATGGGCCGTGCCTGCTGGACTGGATCATGAAGCACGGCGCCTTCAGCCATCGCCATCTAGCGCAGATTATCTTTCAGGCAGGCACGGCACTGGACTACTTCCACACGGAGCTGCGGCTGATGCATACCGACCTGAAGCCGGAGAATATGCTGCTGGAGACCAGCGAGACGGTGGTAGACCCCGCCACGCGCAAGACAATGCCGGCCGATCCGTGCCGCATCCGCATTTGTGACCTCGGCGGCTGCTGTGACGAGCGCCACAGCCGCACGGCCATCGTGTCGACGCGCCACTACCGCAGCCCTGAGGTGGTGCTGGGCCTGGGGTGGATGTACTCGACGGACATGTGGTCCATGGGCTGCATCATCTACGAGCTTCACACAGGCAAGCTGCTGTACGACACCCACGACAACCTCGAGCATCTGCACCTGATGGAGAAGACGCTTGGCCGCCTTCCGCCGGAGTGGGCGGGGCGCTGCGGCACAGAGGAGGCGCGCCAGCTGTACAACTCCGTGGCGCAGCTGCGTCCCTGCATCGACCCAAAGCATCTTGCCCGTATTGCTCGGGCACGGCCGGTGCGTGAGGTCATCTCCGACAAGCTGCTGTGCGACCTCATCCACGGCCTGCTGCACTTCGATCGTCAGAAGCGTCTGACGGCGCGACAGATGACGATGCACCCGTACGTGCTGAAGTACTACCCGGAGGCGCGCCAGCACCCCAACTTCCCAGACAACCGCCCAAACCTCCGCCCCACACCGCTCATGTGAGTTGT